CCACCCCAGGTAGCAAGGTGACGACTAAAGATGTCATTAAGACGTCATTAAGACGTCTATGACGTTTTAATGACATCTTAATGACGTCTTTAGACGTCACCTTGCTACCTGGGACTGAACGCTATCGCGCTATTGACTCCCCGATGAAAAATGTTTCATGTAAAATTATGTGTGAAATTTGTCCATACATAATTATGTATAATTATATATAATCATATAAAATTATACTAAATTATATATAATTATACACAATTATGTATAACAATATGTATAATTACATATAAATCTATGCGTAATTATGTAAAATTATATATGAATATATATATATATATATAATTATACATAATTAGGTATAAATTACATATATAAATAGAATATATGAACATGAATGGACAAATTTGATACATAATAATATATAATTATGTATAATTATATATAATTTTATATAATTTTATATAATTATATATGAGAAATTTTTCATTGGGATCCCCGAACGGTATTTATTATAGCTTTAGCGTCTCAATTTGAAAATGATTCATAAAGGTGACGAGATACCTAAATTGGGAGGAGACGTTCAATTTAAATCAGATACAAACCTATCAATTATTGGAATAAGTTACAGATCAAGCACCGGACATTTTAGCGGAGAGCGAGGAGAACAACGAGGAAAGTATGAGGCCGAAGGCTATTCGTTATAAGAAAAATATAGGACGCTTGAACAGTAAGGGTTTATATAACAACACGGATACTAACAACAACGCTATGTCCAGTGATCATACAGGTAGTGAAATATCTCGATTAGGCATCATTCTTCTCTCTCTTTCACTCTGTTAAATATTAATTTTTTAATGATATTCTTTTCTAGCTGTTTTTAAAATATTTCTTTCTATATTGTGTAACTTTATCATGAATATTTCCTGCTTATTCCTTAATCTAATTACATAGTAATTATATAATAATTTACAAGACAAACCACAAAGTTACTTTTACGAAATTGGTCTAGACGTTTTGGAGAACGAAGACAGTGATAGTTTTGAAGATGTATCAGATGACGAAGATGATAATGAAATACACAACAAATTGAAGAAAGCTAGGGCAAGGAAAAACAAGTCCGAGATTCGCAAACTTGAGATGGCCAAGAAGAAATTGATAGCTTTGTTTCGCAATAGGAACCTTAGCGCCTGGGAGATGGCCAAACAAGTTAGTGCGTAAGTATCAGTTACCAGAATGTCTAATCCCATCTCGATATAAGTTATTTCGATATATAACTTTCATCTAATTCGGGTGTATGATAAAGTTACCTTCGTCTATTTTAGGGTGTATAATAAAGCTACCATGAAACCGGAAAAGAAAGTACATAATACGTCGTTGCGAAGAAACATTTGAAGCGCACCATCAGGCTTGCTGGTGTGAAAGTTCGATATGAGTCGATCCGCGAATGAAAAAGGATATACGCGCGGCGAAAGCGAAAGAAAAGTCTAAGGGCCGCGGGATTAAACATCGAAGTGGAAAGACTCCTAGAGCGAAAGCCAAAGCTATGAAAAGGAAGAGAATCAAGTTGCTTTTATCTCTTCTGTAGAATAGAAATGATTTTTATAATTATTTTATCTAAACATTTGCATAATGCAATATTTGTGTTTTTTGTTCAATTTTAAAGATACGATACTCTATTCAACGCCAAACTTTAAAATTTTTAGTTTACAAACAGATCGAATACATTAGACAAGCGACAATGTATAATGTTTTCATTTGCTATAGAATCGTACTATTTAAAAATAAAAAGTCACGTAACACACTATTGGATCTTTTATATATATATATATATATATATATATATATATATATATATATA